TATTCACCCGACAAGGGGCATACTTTGCACATATTGTTGCCACCACCTGTATTGACGTGCAAATATTTGTAGACATCAATCCAAGAGGATAACTTAGTCAACATCATCGGACTGGTCAGATCATACGCCTACCCGTGCGAGTTCACGATCCCATACCTTCCACAGTCCTACCCTCCGTCCATAGTAGCTGGTGGAGAAGAAATCGCCGCGGATGACATCTTGCTCGGATATTTTCAGTACTGATTTAAATAGCAAGAGACAAAGAGAGCTATGAGGTATTTCTCTACGTTTGATATACGCAGTAAGCCTTCTCTAATTCGCAGACCGAGAGCTAGTTGCTTTGAACTCCAACATCTACAGTAAGATAACTAATCTTTCTCGACGATTCAGTCGCATGCACTGCATTATTACTCTACAAACGTTGGGCAACCTGTGAATGACCAACACATCTACGACGGAACATCCGGAAGAGGTCTGAAAGGTGTATTGCCCTTATAGATATAGTAAGTGCACGAGAATACAACCACTGCTCGGCGGAGAACAGTAACATCAAATAGGCATGAACGGATTATGATTACAGCTTACCCTCGAGATCATAATCTTTGAACGTCGCTCGCACATTGTCATCCACATCAGCGACTTGAAGCATGAAGCCAGTCAATTGCAGCAGCTGTTCTTCCGCATATTCCTCGCCATTGTCGTCATTGTCATAGAACATGCCACACATCAAAGCTTTCTTTCGCAGTTCTTTGACTGAGGGGTCTTTGAAGATTTCTTCCATCTAACACAAAACACGAGAGCTTGGAGAGTTAGAGAATTGTCTCGAGCTTGCGTAGGATTTTAAGCTCAAAGGCACTGCCGAATATTGGCGTCGTCTGCACCGGGTTGAAATTGCAGTGCACTGATGTTGTACCAGTTGCATGATACGACACTAGGATATACTTCATATATACCGTATACTAGGCAGCGTATATGTGCATACATAGGTATCCATCTGAATAAAAGATTGATTCACTCTAAATATTTGGAGCATAATCTATCGGGGCAGCAACTTCTAATTGAAAAAAAATTGTGTAGCATAAATGGATACATAAAATTAATGACATGTACGCTCTAACAAACATTTTACAGGTACAGACAACTGACGGCCAAAACATATATGTGAACATCGTAGGGAATTTGACAGTGATGCACGTCTAATAT